AAGGTGGGCAGATCACTTGAGGTCAGGAGTTCAAGACCAGCCTGGTCAACATGGTGAAACCCCATCGCTACTGAAAATACAAAAATTAGCTAGGCGTGGTGGTGTGCACCTGTAATCCCAGCTACTCAGGAGGCTGAGGCACGAGGACTGCTTGAACCTGGGAAGCAGAGGTTGCAGTGAGCTGAGATTGCACCACTGCACTCCAGCCTGGGCGACAGAGTGAGACTCCATCTCAAAAAAGAAGACGACGACGAAGAAGAAGAAGAAAGAGGAGGAGAAGGAGGAAGAGGAGGAGGAGGAGAGGAAGAGGAAGAAGAGGAAGAGGAGGAGGGGGAGGGGAGGAAGAGGAGGAGGAGGAGGAAGAAAAAGAAGAAGGAAGAAGGAGGAAGAAGAGGAAGAAGAGGAAGAAGAGGAAGGAAGGAAGGAAGGAAAGAAGGAAGGAAGGAAGGAAGGAGAAATAATGAACTCACAACACTTACTGTCTCCTTCAAAGGAGTGAAGGATGTGCAGAGGGCTACGTGCAGTCACAGAAACTGCCAGGTAGCATTAGTGAGCATGTGTGGGAAGGGCACAGCCCAGTTCCCCGCCAGAGCCCAGAGAAGAAAACAAGCTCTGGTCTCTCAGTCGAAGCAGTGGGGTGGGAAGAGCCCTGCTGTCTCGCCACATGGCCTTGGTAGCTGGCCTATGTCTCAGTGTCTCTCAAAAGTGAAAATAGATCAGGAGGGCTGACACACAGTAGGCACTCAAGAACTGTTTTCTGGATGAGTCAGTGAATCGGTGAACAGCATTCACCTCTCTGGGCATTGATTTCTTCATTCATGTAAAATGAGAGCTGGAAATTTCTTTAGGGCCAGGCACAGTGGCTCACACTTGTTATCTCAGTACTTTGGGAGGCCAAGGCAGGAGAATGCCTTGAGCCCAGGAGTTTGAGACCAGCCTGAGCAACACAGTGAGACCCCCATCTCTACCAGACATTTTTTTTTTTTTTTTTTTTTTTGAGATGGAGTCTCACTCTGTGGCCCAGGCTGGAGTGCAGTGGCGCGATCTCAGCTCACTGAAACCTCCATCTCCCAGGTTCAAGCAATTCTCCTGCCTCAGCCTCCCGAATAACTGGGATCACAGGCATGCACCACCATGCCCGGCCAATTTTTTAATTTTTAGTAGAGATGGAGTTTCACCATGTTGGCCAGGCTGGTCTCGAACTTGTGACTTCAATTGATCCACTTGCCTTGGCCTCCCAAAGTGCTGTGATTATAGGCATGAGCCACTGTGCCTGGTCCAAAACATTTTTTAAAAATTACCCCAGGCGTGGTGGCATGCGCCTGTAGTCCCAACTACTTGGGAGGCTGAGGCAAGAGGATTGCTTGAGCCCAGGAGACCAAGGCTTCAGGGAGCTATGATTACATTCCTGTACTCCATCCAGCTTACGCAAGACAGAGAGAGACCTTGTCTCAAAAAAAGAAAAAGAAAAGAAGAGAAACCTCTTCAGTCTCTGAATACTTACCAAGGTTCTTTCTAAAGACCAGAGGTCAGCAAACTATTTCTGTAAAGGGCCAAGTACTAAATATCTTAGGCTCTACAGAGTGTACAGTCTCCATCATGATTACTCACCTCTGCCACTGTTGTAAAAAGCAGCCACAGACAATGCCGAAATGAATGGACGTGACTTTGTTCCAATAGCACGTTATTTACAGACACTGAACTTTAAATTTCACATAATTTTCGTATACCAGAAAATGTTCCTCTTTTGATTTTCCCCAACTATTTAAAAATGAAAATTAAACTATTCTTAGTTCGTGAGTTGTACCAAAACAGGCAGTGGGCCGGATTTTGACCGTGGGCTGTAGTTTGCCAGCCCCAGCTAAAGACTGGCGAAGAATCTTCCAAGAATTCCTTGGAGCGTCTTAGACAGAAGTTCAAAGGGAGAGTGTGCTCTCTCCTTGGTGTGGAAATACTGATCACCATGTCTTCCAAACTGGGTTTCATAGACACATCTCCATGCCATGCTCTCACTCTAGAACCTAAGATGGCTCCCATGTTAAGGTTCTTTACAACCCAGACACATTATGTCCCTGATATGTCCTAATTGGGCAGACTCCTCATTGTCACCTACCCTGGCATACCACACCCATTTCTAATATTTGTCTCAGCTCCCTCCTCTCTCTGAGTGCCTGGAATCTCTTCCTGACCCCTGCAAGTCATGCGCCCCCTGTAAGGTGCACCTCGATTTGAGCAACCTTCTCCCAGACTATCCTGATCTCTATCTTCATTGAACTCTAGTCACTGTCTGGAGCTTTCACAGTCCCAGCCGAGAGCATGGGTTCTGAGATCAGACTGCACGGGGTCCAAGTTCCTATCACTTACTCTGTGATGTTGAACAAGTTCTTTATCCTGTCTAAGATATAATAATAATAGTCCTTACCTTTTAAGAGTTGCTGCAAGAGTTCACTGAGATGATTTGTGTAAAATGCTTAATCCGGAGCCTGACACCAATCATATGAAAGCATTCAATAAGTGCTAGCAATTATACTTCTGTATTGTTTGATGTTTTTATAGCGAGACCATATTTATGTAATAGTTGTATAATTTTTTAAACAGACCAAACTGGGTGTGGTGGTATATGCCTGTGTTCCCAGCTACTTGGGAGACTGAAGCAGGAGAATTCCTTAAGCCCAGGAGTTCAAGTCCAGCCTGGGCAATATAGTAAGACCCTGCCTCTAAAACAAAAAACAAAAAAAAAGGACCAAGTATTCTTTTAGGTCTAAAACAAAAGTAACTAAGCAATACTGGTGTTTGTTTATTTGTTTGTTTTGAGACAGGGTCTCACTCTGTCAAGGCAGACAGCTGGTCACCCACATCAAGAAAATGGACTATTTTTAAAAGTCAATCCTTGCCTCGCAGGTTGGAGTAGAGCGGCGTGATCATGGCTCACCCAGGAGCTCAACCTCCTGGGCTCAAGTGATCCTCCCACCTCAGCCTCCCTGGTAGCTGGAACCACAGGCACACGCCACCAGGCATAGCTAACTTTTTTATTGTGTAGACACAGGGTCTCGATATGTTCCCTAGGCTGATCTCGAACTCCTGGGCTCTGTCGATCTTCCCATCTCATCCTCAAAGTGCTGGGATTACAGGCATGAGCCACTGTGCCTGTCCATAATTTTTTTATATGATACATACACAAAAGAACAGTATTAGTAGTTGTTATTGTAAGAAAAATCAAAACTAAGTCTAGAAAGCCCTTGGAAGAGAGAAGAATAAACGGCGCTTGAGGAAGTTGACGTTTGTTTGGGAACAGAGTGGGAACAAGGGCCTTGAAGAAGGTGACATTTGTTTGGGAACGAGTATCTGATTGCAATCAAAGGAGAGGCCGGTGTGACAGGTGGATGTTAATCCACAGACCATTAAAACAGCCACGGAGATAAAACAGGCATATTGACCTTCCAGGGTGCAACATGAGGGCATTCCCTTCCTATGGATGTCACCCAAGCCCGCTGGAAGGCACCTCTCTGGACCCTTGGTCCCCAGCAAGATGCTGAGAAATGGCTGAGGCCAGGGGCTCCCTGGAGACTTCTCAACACTTACCCTTCCCCAGGGATAGCGTTTAAGCTCATGAATCCCACGAAAGCCGAACCAGTGCACATGTTTATCATCTTGGAACCATTTGATTTGAGGACATTGAAATAGCACTTGCTGGCTGGGTGTGGTGGTTCATGCCTGTAATCCCAGCATTTTGGGCAGCTGAGGTGGGTGGATCACCTGAGGTCAGGAGTTCGAGACCAGCCTGGCCAACATAGTGAAATCCCATCTCTACTAAAATACAAAAATTTGCTGGGCTTGGTGGCATGTGCCTGTTATCCCAGTTAGTTGGGAGGCTGAGGCAGGAGAATTGCTTGAACCTGGGAGGTGGAGGTTGCAGTGAGCCAAGATCCCACCATTGCACTCCAGCCTGGGTGAAAAGAGTGAAACTCCATCTCAAAAAAGAAAAGACAAGACAAGGCAAGACAGGGAAAGAGAGGAGAGGAAAGGGGAGTAGCGAAATAGCATGTGATGGTGAGATACACGTTTTGCACAGAAATGTTGGCTAGGAGAGTCCAGGAGCGTGTCTGTGAGCTGACTTCTTACCTAGGGTGGAGGGGTGGATGGAAGTAGCTGTTCCTACACACCCACGCTGCCTGTGCAAAACCGTGGGCTGCCAGCACCACACACACAAGCCTGTTTAATTCTCATACAACCCCAGGACAAAGGTGTAATCCCTTTTCCACAGTGACAGCACTGAGGCTGAGAGCAGTAAAGGAGGTCATAGCCAGGCAATGGGGGTACTGAGATCTACAATGAGATCTGGCTGGGTCTAAAGCGGGTTGCATCCTCTCTGTGCTCACAGAATGGGGCTCGAGGGCTCATCTAAACCCCTCATTGTTTGTTTATTTATTTATTTATTTATTGACACAGAGTCTCGCTCTGTTGCCAGACTGGAGTGCAGTGGTGCAACCTCGGCTCACTGCAACCTCTGCCTCCCAGGTTCAAACGATTCTCCTGCCTCAGCTTCCCGAGTAGCTGGAACTACAAGCACGTGCCACCAAGCCCAGCTAATTTTTGTATTTTTAGTAGAGACGGCGTTTCACCATATTGGCCAGGATGGTCTCGATTTCTTACCTCGTGATCCGCCCTCCTCAGCCTCCCAAAGTGCTGGGATTACAGGCGTGAGCCACCGCGCCCGGCCTAGACATTACTTCTTTTTCTCACCTGTCTTAAGATGCCCACAGCCTCCGTAACTTATTTTTAAAAGGAGACAATAAAGACTATTTTTAAAAGTCAATCCTTGCCTCTGGAAACCTGCCTCTGCTTTTGTCGTCGTCTCTGCTGGGTTTCCATTAGGCTGAAACTCAAGCTGATGCCTCCGTTTCGTGTCATTTTCACAAAAGTTTGGTAAAGCAGCCGCTCTGTCATTCCAGCAGGGCCTGATCACCTCTCCCCACCCAACGCTGATAAAAAATGACCCACTTTCCCCTATCGTCCCAGCGTGAAAGGCCAAGATGCTGAATGACACGGGTTGGCTTTCTTTTCCTTCTGAACGTTAATCAGGTTACTGAAGATAACATCTCTCTTTGGAACGCTCAGGCAGCAGCAGAGTTTGATTTCCAGGTTCGGCCCTAATGGTACAGAGACCTGGACTAATGTGGCTTATTCACAGTTCCAGCTACGCTTTTAAAGCACTTTGCATGAACTATTCACATGTCTTTTGAACAATATGATTTAATGGCATTGGAAAATCATCACGATGTCATGCTTGCAATGAGCGGGACAGCTGTAGGTATGTCTTGATCCAATACGCATTAAAAATGCAGCTGTCCATACACATGTATCCGTGAAAATGTCTTCAGCTCCAAGGAACAGAGCATTCGATGACTAGTGTCTTAAATCTTGGGTGACCGGCTGTCTCTGTTTGCCCGGGACTGCGAGGTTTCCAAGGATCTGGAAATTGCAGTGCAGAAACTGGGACAGCCCCAGGCAAACCAAGTCAGTTGTTCACACTACTTAAGTCATAAGGACATTTAATATTTACTTGAGGCTGGGTGCGGTGGCTCACACCTGTAATCCCAGCACTTTGGGAGGTTGAGGTGGGTGGATCACAAGGTCACGAGTTCAAGACCAGCCTGGCCAAGATGGTGAAACCCCGTCTCTCCTGAAAATACAAAAATTAGTCGGGCATGGTGGATGCCTGTAATTCCAGCTACTCGGGAGGCTGAGGCAGAGAATTGCTTGAACCCATGAGGCAGAGGTTGTAGTGAGCCGAGATCATGCCACTGCACTCCAGCCTGGGCGATAGAGCTAGACTCCGTCTCAAGAAAAAAAAAATTGACTTGATATGCAATCCAGATGCAGGTGGCCCGAGGGTCAATGGGGTGGCCCCAGGATGCTATCAAGGGTTTCCTCTCCTCCCCTCTGCCATAGATGGCGAACCTGTCCCGTTCTGCCCATGCGTAGTAAGCCAGTCGCTGTTATGATGGATCTGGCAAAAGAAAAGAATTTATTCACACCAATGCAGCCAAGCAAGGAGGCAGGAGAAAAGGTCTCATACTTGCCTCCCTGAAGATGGAATTTAGGGATCTTTATGGAATAAAGGAGCAGGGTGTTCTAAAGTGTGGGGAAAGGTGACTGGAGGCAAGGGGAAGTGAGGTCATTGGCAATCTGTACATACATAGCCAAGCTCCTGGCTCTTCATAGGATGCATGTTTAGAAAATGGCAGCATTACCATGATCCCAGGGAGTTTTTGGGCCCTCTGACATCAAAAGGTCACTTCTCCAGCATTTGCACAGGTTCAGTTGAAGGGTCATTGATCTCAACGGGTTCGAACTGGACAAGAGCTGCCCCCATAGTCCTGAAAAACAACTTTAAGCAACCATTACCATAGTCACATATGTGTCATAGTGACATACATGTGACATATGACATACTGTACCACAATGACATATAGTGACATATATAAGGAAGCCAGTAGGGGGGGGTTAGGTATATATCGTTTGGCTGCTTGACTTTTAGCTATGTAAGTTTTAAGATCAGCTAGAAGTAAGTGGTTAAAAGCAAGCAAGGCAAGCTAAGTTTGGTGGGCTTAATCAGGTTAGCATTCGGTTTCACCATCCTCACCTGAGTGGCTGTAGGAGCTTAGGACCAGGACGGGGGAGAACCCAAGGCCCTAATTATCCTCCCCAGAAGCCTGCCCAAGCAGACTTTCTCTTAAGGGCTTTCTCTAAGCCCACCAAACTTAACTTGCCTTGTTTGCTTTTAACCACTTACTTCCAGCTGGTCTTAAAACTTATATAGCTAAAAGTCAAGCAGCCAAACGATGTGTAACTAAACCCCCCAGTAGCTTCCTTATATATGCCACTATATGTCTTTATGGTACATATATGTCACTATGACAGATATGTGACTATGGTAATGGTTGCTTAAAGTTGTGCTCTTATATTTCATTGGCCCAGAGTAGATGTCATAGCTACCTCTAGTTGCAAGAGAGCCTGGAAAAGTGCGTATCTGGCCAAAGCAAATGGGATTCTGTGGCTGGCTTCCATCAAGCTGGGCAGGTTGCCTCCTGGACAAATCAGAGCTCTGGGAGAAAGGGGGAGGGGAAGGTCTGCCACGGATCATGCCAGCTGCAACTCATGTAGCCACATGGAGAGGAGACACCACGGTGAAATTGTCAAGAGCAGGAGCTAGGGCTGAATCTAGAAGGCCACTTACCAGTACAGAACACTGGGTGTGGTGCTTAACCTCCATATACTCATCTGGAAAATGGAGCTCAAAACAATGTTTCTCTTCCCGGACTGCTGTGAGGGTCTAGACGAGTTTATGCACAGAAAGTGCTGAGCATTTGCACAGTTAAGGCTCCGTAAATGCTGACTTCTTGTTTGCCTTAATGGCAGAACCCATCCTTCCATATTCCAGAAAAAGATTTGATTTTTAGTTACGTGAATGGACACCTAACCCTGATGGACAGCTTGGGGTGGGGGGACAAGCTTCTTTCTTGGGAGGATGTTCAAAGGACCATGAAGCTTTTGGTTTTGCCAACTGGGGTTTATAAGTTGAAGAACAGAGCTGAATGATTTAGGACGGGGTTGTCCAATCTTTTGTCTTCCCTGGGCCACATTGGAAGAATTGTCTTGGGCCACACATAAAATACACTTACAGTAACAATAGCTGATGAGCTTTAAAAAAATCACACAAAACAATCTCATGTTTTAAGAAAGTTTACAAATTTGTGTTGGGTCGCCTTCAGAAGCCATCCTGGGTCAGATTTGGACAAGCTTGATTTAGGACCTGATGGTCCTCCTTTGGTGGGAGGTGTGTGGAGGAGGTAGAGAGAGAGAGAGAGAGAGAGAGAGAGAAGAGATGAGGCACGAGGAAAGCAGAGCTATCTCATAGGGACATTGATGAAGTCCTGCAGCGTGACTCCCGTGAGCAATTCTGTAGAATTCCACCTTGCTTGTCAATGTTTGTGGGCTTGGATCTCTTGGGAGGATCCAATCACATGCTAAGGGCAGCCTAGAGATGGACAGAGGGCCAGGGAAAAGGCCCCCAGGGCAAGCCCGCCACCCTTAGGTTACATGGAGGAAAAAGACAGCTGTGAAATACACCAGAACCCCCGGAGTAGAAGTGACCTCTGCTACATGTAGGTCAAGGTTTTGCATACGTTTAGCTTCCTTCTTTGTACTTGTTTGTATTTTCCAAAATTTCTACAATAATTAGGGATCCACTCTACAATCAGATAAAAATGCCATTTACAAACTTTTATTGGCCAGGCATAGTGGCTCATGCCCGTAATCCCAGCACTTTGGGAGGGTGAGGTGGGTGGATCACTTGAGCCCAGGAGTTTGAGACCAGCCTGGGCAACGTGGCAAAACCCCATCTCTACCAAAAATACAAAAAATTATCCGGGCGTAGTGGCGCCTCCCTGTAGTCCGAGCTACTCTGGAGGCTGAGGAGGGAGGATGGCTTGAGCCTAGGAGGCATAGACTGCAGTGAGCTGAGATTGTGCCACTGTACTCCAGCATGGGTGACAGAGCCAGACTCCATCTCAAAATAAAATAAAATAAATAAAAACTCTTACAAAGAAGAGTATAAGCACTGAAAGTTACTTTTAAAAAGGTTTTACATGTTAGCTCTATTCCTCAGAAATAGTGCTTCTTCTACATCATTTTTTCCTTTTTCTCTGCTTCTTTTTTTGTTGTTGTTTTTTTTTTTTTTTTTTTTTTTTTTTTTTTTTTTGAGATGGAGTCAGGCTGAAGTGCAGTGGCACAATCTCGGCTCACTGCAACTTCTGCCTCCCAGGTTCAAGTATTCTCCTGCCTCAGCCTCCTGAGTAGCTGGGATTACAGGCGCCCACTACCAACCACGCCCAGCTAATTTTTGTATTTTTAGTAGAGACGGGATTTCACCAAGTTGGCCAGGATGGTCTTGATCTCTTGATCAAGGCCTTGTGACCTGGCCGCCTCGGCCTCCCAAAGTACTGGGATTATAGGCATGTGAGCCACCGCACCTGGTCTTTTTTTTTTTTTTTAGATGAAGTCTCACTCTGTTGCCCAGGCTGGAGTGCAGTGGCATGATCTTGGCTCACTGCAACCTCTGCCTCCCGGGTTCAAGCAATTCTCCTGCCTCAGCCTCCTGAGAACTGGGGATTACAGGCGTGCACCACCACGCCCGGCTAATTTTTATATTTTTAGTAGAGAAAGGGTTTCACCATGTTGGCCAGGTTGGTCTTGAACTCCTGACTTCAAGTGATCCTTCCACCTTGGCCTCCCAAAGTGCTGGGATTACAGGTGTGAGCCACTGCACCCAGCCATTCTCTGCTTCTTTCTCACAGCTAATGATAATAATAGTAAAGGCCAAGGGTGGTGCCTCATGCCTATAATCCCAGGGCTTTGGGAGGCTGAGGTGGGAGTATCGCTTAAGCCTAGGAGTTCAAGACCATCTTGGCCAATATAGCAAGATTCTGTCTCTACAAAAAATTTAAAAATTAGCTGAGTGTAGGGACATATGCCTGAAGTTCTAGCTACTTGGAAGGCTGAGGCAGGCAAATCCTTTGAGCCCTGGAGTTTGAAGCTGCAGGGAGCTATGATTGCGCTGCTGAACTCTAGCCTGGGTGATAGAGCCAGACCCTATCTCTAAACAACATAATAATAGTAGATAGCATTTATTTGGGCATTTGACTGTGCAGGTCCCAGGCACTGTGCTCAATGCTTGACGTGCATAATAATCCCAGCAAATAGTACTGCTATCATTCCTATTTAAAACATGATGGCCAGGTGCGATGGCTTACGCCTGTCATCCCAGCACTTTGGAAGGCTGAGGCGAGTGGATCACCTGCGGTCAGGAGTTCGAGACCAGTCTGACCAACATGGTGAAATCCCGTCCAAAAAAATAAGTAAATAAATTAGCTGGTGGTGCATGCCTGTAATCTCAGCTACTTGGAAGGCTTAGGCAGGATAATCACTTGAACCTGGGAGGCAGAGGTTGCAATGAGCCAAGATTGCACCATTGCACTCCAGCCTGGGCAACAAGAGCAAAACTGTTGTTTCAAAAAATAAATAAATAAATAAATAAGGCTGAGACGGGCAGATCACGAGGTCAGGAGATCGAGACCGTCCTGGCTAACATGGTGAAACCTGTCTCTACTAAAAATACAAAAAACTAGCCAGGCGAGGTGGCGGGCACCTGTAGTCCCAGCTACTCCTGAGGCTGAGGCAGGAGAATGGCGTAAATCCGGGAGGCGGAGCTTGCAGTGAGCTGAGATCCGGCCGCTGCACTCCAGCCTGAGTTTTTTTGAGACTCGTCTCAAAAAAAAAAAAAAATAGATAAAGAAAGAAATAATTAAAAATGAGTTAGGTAAGTGAGGCAGAGAAGGAAGTCACTGCACCGTGGCCCCTTTGAGCCAGAGTTGTTTGGTGCCAAAACTCTGCCTCCTAATCACTACCTGTCTCTCCTTTTGCCTTTTCTCCATCTTCTCCTCTCTTACCTCTCAAAAATTATCAATAATTTGATAATTCTGTGGTTAGAATCCAAGATTCCTCAACTTCAGTGTGATTGACATGGTGGCTGGCTCGCTGTCTGTTGTGGGAGCTGTTCTGTGCACAGTAGGATGTTTAGCAGTGTCCCTGGTCTCTACGCACTAGATGCCAGTAGCAATCACACCCCTCCCCAACACACACTCAATTATAATAACCAAATATGTCTCCAGGCATTGCCAAATGTTCCTGGGGACCAAGATTGCCCTGATGTAGCCTGATCTCTGCAAAAGCATCCGGAGTCCCTCCAGTTGAACGATCACTGATAGAAACCCACAGGAACAGTCTGTGCCCTCCCGGCAAGTCCACACTCATTCGAGGCAGCTGTCACCTGCTAGGACATTCCAGAGCAGGGCTTGAAAAATGCTTGGCGTGCCTCTGGCAACAAGAGATGCAGGCTGAAGCAAGGCATTCCTGGCTCTTGTCCTGAAACAAGGATGCTGAGATTAGAATGGACAGCATGAGTTATTCTTGAGTGGCAAAAGGCAAGGGGTCCTGCTGTGGTTTGTATGTTTGTCTCCTCCAAATCTCATGTTGAAATTAGTCTGTTCTTGCATTTCTATAAAGAACTACCTGAGGCCGGGTGCGGTGGCTCACGCCTGTAATCCCAGCACTTTGGGAGGCTGAAGTGGGTGGATTGCTTGACCCAAGGAGTTGGCAACCAGCTTGGACAATATGGTGTAACTTTATCTCTATTTTAAGGAAAAAATTTTTTAAACTACCTGAGATCGGGTAATTTATACAGAAAAGAAGTTTAATTGACTTGCAGTTCCACTGGCTGTACAGGAAGCATGGCTGGGGAAGTCTCAGGAAACTTACAATCACGGTGGAAGGCGAAGGGGAAGCAGGGAAGTCTTACACGGCTGGA